AATCGGTCCAAGAGGGGCCCGAGAAGCCCTCCAGACGGTCCAAGAGAGCCGGGAGACGCCGAAATATCACTCCCAAACGCCTACGATGGCCTCAAGACGGCCCAACAGGCCTTCAAGACGCCCCAAGAGGTCCCTAAGCGGCGTCCCAAGAGGGTTCCCACAAGCAAAAATCGTCTCATTTCCCATAGGGAAGCGTGCATTTTTAACATATCCGCCTCTTCGTCTTTCACACCTTTCAAGGCGGTCCAAGAGGCCCCCAAGATCACCCCAAGACGGCCCGAGAGACGGTCCAAGAGGCCCCAAGACGGCCCCATGATTGAGGTCCACAGGGGCAACCTGAACGGAAATTTTGAGCCTCCCGCCCAAACACGCCCCCGAACTGCCCCTACAAGCCCCCAAGTAGCCCCACGAAGCCCCCAAGAGAGCCCCAAGAGGCCCCCTAACAGGCCGCAAGAAAGCCCCAAGAGGCCCCCAAGAGACCCCCAGGAAGCTCCCAGGAGGCCCCCAAGAGGCCAGGCAGACCCCCCCAAGAGACCACCAAGAGGGCCCACCCAGAGCCATCCACGAGGCCTCCCAAAGTTCCCAAGAAGCTCCCACGAAGCTTCCAAGGGCTCCCAAGACCCCCCAAGACCCCGCGATGGCACAATACGGGCCGGCGGAATGAGCGAAGCGATTCAATAAGGAATCACGCTCTCGCTTTGGCCTTTCTCACGATTTACTTGGGAATCGCGTTATCGCTCGAGCCTTCCTCGCGACTCATGCAGGACTCACGCTTCAGCAGCGCGCCTGCTCGACCTGGCCGCCCGGGCCCGCCTTCCCGACCCGCCCGCTAGAGTCTGCCCGCCCGATCTGCCCGTCTGGTTCTGCCACGTGTTTTCTGCTCATGGCTCCCCTCCTGCTAATTTCTCTCGTGCTCCATACTTTTCCTTCCCCCTTCCCTCTGGTCTCCCTTCCCATGTTTCAAAGGCTACGCCAACGATGCGTGGCAGGTGAGGAAAATATATCCCCGAGGGGGGGGTACGGTCGAAGACGAAGAGGGCGGGAACTAAGGGCTTGGGCGTTCTGAATGGCACGCGAGCAGACAGGAGCAAACAGTCGTAAATGTATGGTTGTTGTTGTTGAATCCATTATTGTTGATCCCCCCGGTGACCGTAGCATTTTTGAATGAAGGTGCTTCTCCCCGGGCTCGCACCCTGTTTTTCATTGTAAAAGCAAATCTGTGGTCACCGAAATGCGACCCTGGCCAACGGTTTGCGCCCGCCTGATACTTCCTGGCAATCAATTTTGATTTCGCGCTTTCGCGCGGGACGTCCTCATAATTGATCCAGGGATCGCGCTCTGTCGTAGTGGTTCCTCTCAATTTATTGCGGCACCGTGCCCCCCAAACTCACACATCACACCCTCGCTTTCGATTTCCGAGCCACTTCTGCGTGGGACCCGCTTTATTGCTCGAAACTTCCACAATCACATTGGTTGTCGCGTCAGCGACCCGCCTGCTCGACCTGGCCGACTGTGCCCGCCCGACCGACCTCTCCATCAGGGTCCGCCCGCCCGGCACGCCAGGCTGGTTATGCCGCTTGCGCTGCTGCTCCTAACCCTCCTGCTGCAAGTTTCTCTCGTGCTCCATCCTTCTCCCTGCCCCTTGTCTCTTCAGTCTTCCCCTCCCTCCCCTGTTTGAGGGGCTGCGCCACTCCACGCGAAGACGAGGAGAGCGGGCACCGAGGGCTTGGCATATACGTGCTGAGTGGCACGCGGTCAGACAAGAGCGAACCAATGTATAATTAGTATTGTTGTTGTTGGTGTTGTTGTTGGTGGTCTTGCTGTTGGGGCTGAGATCTCGCTTAAAAAATAATTAGTGTCGCTCCCCCCTGCCCAGTAACAATTACATCTTCCAGAGTTAAACTGTTCCTCCGGGGGCTCGCACCCTGTTTGTTACAATGGACAGCTGGGTGTCACCAAACTGTGTTGTTCGCCCCGTTTTACAACAACAGCGGTTCCCGCCGGATGGTTCCTCACAATATATTATCAAGTCGCGCGCTCGCGAGGGACTTCCTCCCAATGTATGCAGGAATCTCGCTCTCGCGTGGGACCTCCCCGCAATTTGTTCACACGCCGCGCCCTCGACACTCAGGAATCACGCTCTCGCTGTAGATTCCCTCACCATGTATTGGGGCATCGCGCTATCGCTCGAGACTGCCTCGCGGCCCATGCAAGATTCACGCTTCTGCAGCCCGCCTGCTCGACCTGGCCGCCTGGGCCCGCCTTCCCGACCCGCCCGCTGGGGTCTACCCTCCCGATCTGCCCATCTCGTTCTGCCACGTGTTTCTGCTCATAGCCCATCCTTTTGTTCTACCCCTTCCATTCGTCCTCTCTTCTCCTGTTTCAGGGGTTGCGCCAAGCGCACGTGACAGGTAAGGAAGATATGCCCCCAAGGGGGCACGATCGAAGACGAAGAAGGCGGATATCGAGGGTTCGGGATATACGTGTTGAGTGGCACGCGAGCAGATAGAGGCGAACATACTTAACATGATTGTCGTTGGTTGCTTTTGCTGCTGTTGTTGTTGCTGCACTGTTTATTGTCTGGTGTCGTCGTCTCACCCGCGACCGGGCCCGCCACTCACCTGCGACCCACCCGCGATCCACCCACGACCCACCCGCGACCCACCCGCGACCCACCCCGCGACCAGCCCACCACTCACTCGCGACCCACCCGCGGCACACCCGTGACGTTAACCAAAAAACCGACGCCTGCGGCATGCTCGTTGTATATGAGGCGCCTGCGGCGGGATTCTTCAGAGCCTCGCAACCTGCCGACGTCCCCGCCGCCCCCTCACTCTGATCCGCAACCTCGGGGTCCTACGTTTACGCTCCTGGGAAGTCTGTAAGGGGCCCCGACCCAAACTGCGAACTCTCCTGGGGCTTCCCGACTGCTCCCTGGGCCCCGTCGCGACTTGTCATGTGACTTTTCCGTGCCCAGGAGGACCTCAAGACGGACCAAGAGGGCCTCAAGAGGCCCTCAAGACGAGCAACGAGAGTCAAGAGACTCCCACTGATCGACCCAAGACGCCCAAGATAGCCCCGAGACCCTCCAAGACGCGCTCCCGAGAGGGCCCCAAGAGAAGAGGCCCAAATCAATAATCGTCCTTACGTTTTGTGCGATGTTGGCGTTCTCGCCTTTCCGGCTTGACACTTCGTGTCGGCCCACGAGGCCCCCAAGATCGCCCCAAGACGGCCCCAGAGGCCTCCAGGCGGGCTTCAATAGGTCTTTGGCCTCAGGAAGGCCCAAGAGGTCCCCAAGACGGCACAAGAGGGCCCAAAGAGATGGCCCCAAAAGGGGGCCCAGGTGGAGAACCCGAACGGACGTTTCGAGCCCTCGGCCCAGAGGGCCCCCCCGGGAGGCCCTAAGAGGCCCCCAACATGCCCCAAGAGGCCCCCAGGAGGCCCAAGAGGCCCTCAAGAGGCCCCCACGAGGCTCCCAAAAGGCCCCCAAACTGCTCCCAAGAGGCCCCCGAGAGCGCCCCGAAGAGACCCGAAGAAGCATCCCTGAGAACTCTGACGCACAGCCCAGACACAGTAGCGGGATGGGCGGAAGGCCATGCGATGTATGAAAGTACGCATGCATGTATACATGCGTATGCACATACATACACGTACATGTTTGCATGCAGATGTGCATGTCTACAGACCTATGTCTGTGTAGGTTTGTGAAGACACATTCATACATACATACATATATGCATAACTGCATGCATGCATGCATGCATGCATGCATGCATAGATACATACATGCCTACACACATACATATACCTACCTACCTACCTACCTACCTACCTACACACACATACATACATACATACATGCATGCATACATACATACATACATACATACAGCCATACAGGCATACAGACATACAGACATACAGACATACAGACATACAGGCATACATACACGCATGCATGCATGCATGCATGCATGCGTACTTACATACATACATACACACATGTCTTCACACATACATGCATCACTACATCCATACATACAAACATGCATACACACATACATACATACATACATACATACATACATACATACATACATGCATACATACATACATACATACATACATGCATACACGCGTACACACATATTCACATACATACATACATACATACATACATGCATGCATACATACATACATACATACATACATACATGTACACATACATGCATACATACACACAACCATGCATACACACATACAGACATACATACATACATACATACATGCATATATACATACATACATACAAACATACATACATACATACACACATACATACATACATACATACATACATAAATACATACAAACATACATACATACATACACACATACATACATACATACATACATACATCTACATACATACATACACACATACATACATACATACATACACGCAGACACACATACATACACACCTGCAAACGTACATACATGCGTGTATACACCCATACATACATAAGCGCATACATGCATTCAGACATGCTTACAAACAAACACGCATGCACAAACACCTATCTATACATATATAGATATATGTGTATATAGATGTGCGTGTGTACATATACATATATACATGCTCGTCCACACAATCTGGAATCGAGCACTGTGCGACAACCCACATGCAATCCTGTGCGACACACTGTACGCATCAGGCGCTAAAACGCGGCTTCACATACAAGCAGACATACCTGCATACATACATACATGCATAAAGACGTACATGCACACACACCTGCATGCATGCAGGTATACACACGCACATTGCATGCATACGGACTTACGTAGTTACACACATACATACATTTCGATACCCGCTATGGTTCGTTCACGCACCGCTCGATGTGCATATACAAGTATACACACAGATGCTGCCAGCCCGCGGTGGCGCGGGGCGGGCCGCGGCAGCCGGCAGTGCAGGGGCCGCGCGCGTCCTCCTCGCGGGCCCGAGCTGCGGCCGGCTGCGCCTGGGGGACCGCCGCGCTCATCTCCTGCCGGCAGGCCGCCCGCCGCTGCCGCCGCCGTCGTCGCCGTCCAGGCCGCAGTCGTCGTCGCCGTTCGTCGTCGTCGTCGTCGTCGTCGTCGTCGTCGTCATTCGTCGTCGTCGTCCTCCTCGTCGTCGTCGTCGTCGTCGCCGCCGTCGTCGTCGTCGTCGTCGCCGTCGTCGTCGCCGTCGTCGTCGCCGTTGCCGTCGCCGTCGCCGTCGCCGTCGCCGCCGTCAACCGCCGTCGCCGCCGCCGCCGCAGCCGCTGCAGGCGCCGCCACCGCCTCGCTGTTACCCGTCTGGCCCTCTAGATGATCCAGGGACGCTGCCCTGGAACATGCAATGCAGGTAGCCCATGAGGGAGGAACGGGGTAGCCCACACGTGCAACATCGCACAAGCTACGAGAGCGCGTGGCAGGTACATAGCCGATGATACATCTCTCCCCATTTTTTTTCGTTTTTCTCTCTCTCTCTCTCTCTGAATATATTCCTCTTCCTATATTTTTACAAGCCGGGGAGGGGGACCCCCCCCCCCAAAACAGGACTCCCGGGATCTGGGACTTTGGGACCCTCGACGGGCCTCGAAGCGGCCCCCCGGGCCTCGCAGGGCGTTTTGCCAAGCCTTTCCAGCACACCTAGGGCGATCAGGGGGGCCATCGGAGACGTCCCAGAGACCCCCAAGACAGCACAAGAGCGCTCCAAGAGTGATCGACGTGACCTCAAGATGGCCCAAGAGGCCTCCAGGACGGCCCCAAAGAGGCCTCCAAGAGCACTCCCAAGAAGGCCCCAAGAGGCAAAAATCATTGATTGTCTTTTGGTTTTTGGTGAATTGTGGGGTTCTCCTCTTTTCGCCTTCCCGACGCTCCAAGACGGCGGTCTTCTGGGCGTCCGAAGCCGCCTTGGAGGCTCCAAATTCGACCCCACAACCATCCGAAAAGGCTTCCAGGCAGTCCAAGAGAGCCCCAAAACGGCACAACACGGGTCCAATATGGCCCTCAGAGAGCCCCATGGCGGCCCAAGATGGCCCCAAGACACCCTCTGAAGGATTCCAAATCGTGACCCGGTCGTTCAGGGATACCGCGGTTGGAGGCAGGATGGCCCGAGGAAGCCCCCAGAGGCCCCCAGAATACGCCCAGGAGGCCTCCAGAAGGCCTTAAGAAAGCCTGAAACAACTTTTGTGAGGCCCCCAGAGGCTCTCCAAGGAGGAGCCTCCGCAAAAAAGAGCTGAGGTGGATGGGGAGAATGCGCAGGGTATGGCGACAATGAAGAACAAGAAGCATGGAGGAAGGATAACGAATATAACATTATCATAGCGGCGATGCCGGAACAGGCAACAAGGAATTATCGCTAAATTGTCGGCTTGACCTTACTGCTATTCCGCCTGCATACCAAACTTCAAGGACCAAGGTGCATGGCGCGAAGCGCCACTGCAGTCTTGTGTGTATGTATATAGCGCTCCCTCTCTTCCCCATCCTCCTCAGTATTTCCCTGCTGATGTTCGTCATTCGCCTCGTTCCCCATCATATTCAGGGCCCCAGTGGCCTTGATGAGATCCAGTGCCTGCGCGCCGTCAGGGCAGGCAGGGAACTTGGGAGGCCAGGAAAAGGGGCAGGGAGGGAACTGGGTTATCGAGACGCGCAAGAGGGACGCAACACGGTCCGGGATGAGGGGACAGGGGGAGGAAGCGGATGGCATGGGGAGGGGCTGTGAGAGGAGGGGGAGGAGCAGAGTCCAGGGACAAGGAGAAAGAGGAAGGCCAGAGCAGACCAAGGATGCATCAGCGATGATGCTCAGTTCCAAGCCCCCGCATCACAAGACCCAGCCAGACCGCGTGAGGCACTCCCTCGGCTGAAAGACGCCCCCCCTCTATTCCATGCGGGTGTCTAGCTAAACGGAGTGCTCGAGACATCCTCCCACAATCGTGAAGTTGGGGGTCGTATCTTAAGCCGTCTTTTGCTAAAAATGGTCGTTTCGCTCGGGACATCCTCCACACATCGGGGTGCGTGCGTGGGGCAGGGTACTAATTTTGTTTAAGGCAACGTCGAGCGGGAACCCGTGCTGAAAGAAGGACCGCCCTCCACCCGCACAGCAGTTGCGCGCTATTCTGGAGCGCACGGGAGTCGACCTATATACGGCAGGTCCGTGCCGTGTCGACCCTGGCGTTGGTTTCTGACACCGCGCTGGATCGTTCAACCTCGAACGATCGGCCGTCTCCGCAACGTCCGATCGGTCAACATCGACCGATTCTGGGCCGCCGTCGGCGTTCAACGTTGAACGTCGGCGGCGGGGTCGCCGCCGGTCGACACGACGCGAACCTACCGTACGCATGTGGGGGAGCTCACAACCACATGCGCGAAGAATACATCGAAAGATATCGAATGTCGGACCGTGCCTGTGCTGCACAATGCATCGGGAGAACTGGGGACATGTCAAGAGAAAATACCTCATTTGGAAAAGGAGCCGCCGTCCATCCGTGCAACAGCCGAACAGTCAGGAGAGCATGCGCGACTCTGCCGCGAAAGCCACGTTTTGAAATCCACCCGCCCTCCATCCCTGCAGCTATTTAGAGATAGTTTACGCACCTGGGTCGCACATGTAAGCCTCAACTGGAACACATTGCCTGCCTGCCCGCCCTACCGACACGACTGGCTGTGCAAATGGGAAGAGTTATCAAGAAGGAGCAGGAGTTGAAGAGGAGGAAGGCGAGAGAGCCTCGAGCTAAAGGAATGGAACGAGGCGGGGGAAGTCATGATGGGTCGCGACAGCAAGAGAATGTGCAGGAGGGAGATGGGAAGCGGGAAGAAGCAGAGGTGGAGCTGGAGGGGTCGTATGTGGAATAAGGGGTTACGAAGGACGAACGGAAAGAAGGGTGCGAACAGCAAGGCCAATCACTTCGGCACTCGGCGACTAATATAACATTGCCCTCAAGGCGGTCCCACTCCTCTGCAACCAATACGAACGAGAGCCCCGACGAAAATACGCTGTGAGTTGAGAGGAACCCAGCAGTACGAGCGAATACAGGATTGAAGGGAGGGCGTGAGGAATGGATAAATCCCGCCCGACGCCGCGCTTGTAAAAAAAGTGGTTGCCTACAAGTCTGGTCTGGGCCCGCCTTTCATCCCGCGTCGTTCTCTTGACGGCAAGGCCCGGAAGTCAGGGGAAAACAACATGCACCGATACCGCTACTCCCAAGACCTCTCCCAGGGTGCGTTCTGACAAGAATTTCGAAGCGAATCCAGCGGTGGCGGCGAGGGACTCCTAGGAGGCCCAGAAGAAGGGGAAAGAGGCAAGGGTAGCAGTATGGGTACCTTTTCCTCGTTCGAGGAAGGGCCCACGGAAGTCGTGCTGTTTCTTAAATGCGCGGGGGTCTGAGGCGAAAATTAGAAGCCAGATGCCATCAGCCGAGGAGGTGGACAGGGGCACGAGGCTGACCAAGAGATCGACGTGCGCCTTCGCGGGGGGGGGGGGGGGGCAGCGTGGTTTCCAGGGCCTGATCCCAGTACACTCGGCCAGCGCGCTTGATCCGTCGATAGCAATCCTTGCGACCCCCACTCGCGAGAAGCTCTGATCTCAGGTTTGCTCTTACCGACAATTGGGCTGCTTAGGCTTGCTCTTTCCCTACGAGCAGTAACCCCCTCCCCCCGTCGCTCCAGAAACACAGATCGCGTTCGTTGCTCCTCAACGAGCTCAAAGTCGTCGCTTGCGAAAGCTCAGAGAGACTTCCCCAAGCAGCGTCTTGGTGCGCCTCTGGAGCCGCGCGAGGCATCGGATCCGAGTGGTCCACCGCGGCGGGAACGGAACGAACACCGAGCAAGAGCGAAACCTGCCCACGAGGCTGTCCCGGTCCCCGTCAGGGGCAATTGGAAGGGGGGAACTCAGGAGAGCGAGGGATGCGCGAAGCGAGCACAGCCGGCCGACACAGCTGCTTTCTCGAACCGAACACGGCGTCCTGGCTTCGGACTGCCGCGTGGGAGAACACGGCATGATCCACCTCCTTCCTCTTGCATTCTCTTCCCTGCTACTCCCTCCTCCCTGCACCTCCCTATCCACTCTCCTCCTCCTCCTCCTCCTCCTCCTCCTTCTCCTCATCCTTCTCCTCCTCCTCCTCCTCCTCCTCCTCCTGCTCCTCCTCCTCCTCCTCCTCCGCCTCCTCCTCCTCCCTCGCCCGGGTACCGACCGCCCCGGACTACTCCGGGGGCGAGGCCAGCTGGGACTACTCGGGGGGCCCGTTGAGTCCAGCTGGGACTACCTGGGGGGCTGTCTGTGCGCAGCCCGAAACCTTACCAGCGTGGACCGTCAGAACCCCCGACGTCATGATTTTTGATTACGTCGAACCCGAGAGGTCTCGAACCATTTCACGAGCATGGCTTTTCATGCCGAATCGTTGTGCGACGGCCCCGAGGCCCGGCAAGGGCGCCTGGAGGCTGAAAATAGCGAGAAACCTCCCGTCGTGAATTTTGTTTCATGACCCCACGGTGTCTGGGATTGCGCCTCTCCGATCGCCCAGACCTTTCGCTGCCGGCCCGTTTCAAAAGCGACCGGCGGCGCTCTACCTGGAAAGTCCCCGCGCTGCTCAACTACACGTAAGAGTGACCCTTCGCTAGGAATGACCGTCAGTGCTAGCCACAAGGGGAGCGGGTGATTTTCTTTTAAAATGAGCTTGACCTCACGTCGACACCCGTATCGCGCGATTACGCTCGCATCTACACGCACAAGGTTTAAGCCCCCCAATTCAATCGGCAACAACGCGACGCACCCTACAATGTGCATTGGTTCCCCGGGGGGGTCTGGTCGACCAGACGGCGCTGTTTCCGCCACAGGACCAGTCCCGAATCCCAGCCCAACTCCCAGATCGTCTGGTTTGAATACCTTTGAATGTATTTGAATTTGATTGGATATGGTTGAATATCGTTTTTGCAACATTGCAGATCTGTACTAAGCTATCAACACATGTTCAGACAGATTCCAGGCCTGCGGATGGGCCCAGTTTTGGCCATGACGCAAGACCTGACCAAACGTAATCGCGGTGCGGCCCAGCAGTGCCATCCCTCATCGTGGTGGCCCCTGGCAGCGTCTGCTTTCGCAGCGCCTTCGAAGTTCCGTTCGGGGCGTTTGAACCCACTCGGCGGAATTCTGCCGGTGCCCGCTGGCGCAAAAAAATCTGTCCAGTTCCATCCCGCCTATCGTTGATGCGGCTCGGCAGTGCTGGCTTGCGCGGTTGCGTTGGGACCCCACGGGCGCCCTTGAAGCCGCGCGCCAAAGGTCACTCCCGCCTAGGGTCACTCCTACGTGTAGTCGAGCTGCGGTCGCCATCCCCGCGTCTGCGAGACACGAGCCTGCCGTAACCAATGCTCCTCCGCCGCGCGCCTCCTCCCAAAATGTACGATGTGTTGCTTTTCAAGCAAAAGCCCCCCGAAATCCCGACTCGTTTCCCAGAGGCCCCGCTTCTCATCCGCGAGCTGGTTCTCAACATCCCCAGGGCATTCCCGAAGTATAGGATGTGATGTTTTTCCACCACAAGGCCTCCGAACTCCCAACCCTTTTCCCAGAGGGCCGGCTTCTCATCTGCGAGCCGACTCTTGACATCCCAAAGGTCTGGCGAGGGGGCCCGGGAAAGGGGTGAAGAACCTTCGCACTGACTCTGTTCAATACGCTAGAGGTCTGAGTCTGGGCGAACTCCTGGGGGTAGACGTAATGGGGGCTAGGGCCCAGGGGGGCACATCGATCTGTAATCGGCTCTACTCCGCCGATAGACTTAGGTCGGGCGTGTCCTCCTACAGGGGGATTGTGGACGAACAGATAGTCAAATCATACTCCAAAAACGACAGAAATGATAGAAACATCCTCCCCATACTATTTTTGAGTATCCCTCCTGCAGAGGGACAGGCCCGACTTAACTCTACACCTCCGATAGATCGGCGACAGGTCCCCGAAAAAAACACGCTCCTGGGCAGTGTGGACTTTCAGGCGCTCATGGCGATCAATGGGTGATTGGGGGTCGGTGTGCCCCCTCCTGAGCCTGGGCTTGGGTCGGGCATGTCCCCCTACAGACTGCTTTCGGACGAAACTTTACAAAGACTCAAAGAATACCCAACAGATGCTCAAGCATATGATTCAAAACATCGTCACCGACTATTCTGTGGACTATGTTTGATGACTCCCCCTGTAGAGGGACAGGCCCGACTTGAGCCCAGGCTACCCCTGACGTTGCGGCTTTTGCTTCGTAACTCGGCTCTCCAGCGGCCGCTCGGGACGACTCGGGCACCCCCCGAACGCTCTCGGCGAGGCGCCGCTGCTGGAGGCACCCGCTCTGGCTGGAAAACCTCCCCACGCACTGCGCTTGTTCCACGTGGAGGTCCGAGTCCAGGCCCGACGAATCCGCCGATATGACTCTTGCAGGACGCGCCCATGATGATTGGCCTGTTTTCCACCACCACCACCACCATAAGTTGGAGGGGGAGGGGGTCCTCCTCCTCCTCTTCTTCGTCCTCCTTCTCCTCGTCCTCCTCCTCCTCCCCCCTCCAACTTATGGTGGTGGTGGTGGAAAACACGCCCATCAC